TCAAAAACGTCAATTATCGTTTACATTTTCATTGACAATATCTAGTAAAGTATTTCATTCTAGCTAACCTACAAATCCCATTCTATAATACATTTTTCAAAGTTCAATTAGGTAAACTTAAGATAGCCAATTAAATAAATATAATTAACAATTATTCATAAATGAGTAAATCAACAAAATAAGGTACATTTTTTCATGTCGTTTCTTAAATATCACAATTAACCACAACACATAGTATTTTTAATATAAAGATAGATATTAAAATTTAATATAACATGCATATAGATATTAAAAAGTTTAGAGCCAATATTATTTTATAATATATAATCAAATGTTTAATATTTTTAGGCAAATCATCTTTGCTCCATAAGTAGTAATAAATAAGAAGTGTTTTTATTACAAGCAAGTATTTTAACATTGCTTTGATTTTTTACATTTTTTGCAACTTATATGATATATATCAAGTTTCGGAAATCTTTTGTTGGAAGAAAATAGTTTAATTAATTAAGTAATCTAAGTAAATTTGTTCAGGGATCCAATGTAAATCTAATAAAATTTGATTACAGGTTATTAATAATAATAAGTTCAGATCGTTAATTAGAAGTAAACCTTCTTAAAGTAAGAAAATACTCTATAAACCTACTTTCCTCTTTTAAAATATAAGAACACTAAATGTGATGTCAAACACACACATTGAGTAACGCAAATTTAATTCTAATTAATGAAAACATTCAAGCAGATTTTACTGATTTTACTCCCTGAATTAAATTTGGCAATCTTGAAATAATATAAATATATAATATCATTTTGGCACTCAATCTTCATGCTACATTTGCTTAAATTAGCAATAAAATTATTGTCGCAACAGATATTGAAATTGAAAACCATTTGTTATTTATGCTAAAAGATTTCTGTTATGATTCAAGGATAAACATACAAAGGTTTATATAATTTATAACTTTGTACGACTTAGCGATTTGACTGTTCCTGCTAATTTTTCATAATTTTAAATGAGCGACTTTTATTTATTATTTAATTGCGATGATGTGAGATTCAAATTTGTATTTTTATATATGAAGTTTTATTTTTGTTCATTCAAAAATATCAATCAGAAATTTGGTCTAAATTTATTCAATAACTTAAAAAATAGGTAAAATAATATTGACAAAATTTTTTTAAAGGATATTTATAAGTTGTAAGTATTAACAAATATACAAGATGTCCCAGAACTCAACGTCAATTTGAAACGAAAAATATAGAAAAAAAGTTATTCCATGTAGTTTGAAAATTATGAGCTTTTAAGTGCCACCTTCGAGCTTTGATGAAACTATAACAATTTTTCCGTTATTTTAGTTAATTTTTAATTAATTTGTTCATTTAAACTTTGGATTCGTAACCATAAATGACATTACCACAGTAAAAAATAATAACACATTTGTTCAACGTTTTAAAAATTTGTGTTAGACTATGATTTTAAAATTTTCAAAATTGGTCTATTTTGAAAGGCTCTTTAAAAATAATGTACTAAAGTGTGTTGGTAAGTTCCATCAAAAATTGGCGCATTTAATCAGGAATTTAAAATAGTAAAATACTTGATAGTTTCATAATAAAAAATTTGGGCAAATAAATAAATCAAATATTGTGTGAAACCTCAAAAATGAATTCCTTCAAAATGTTTCGTTGATTATAGATCATTCCTAGTCAATAGTTAACAAATACTAAAAAATTAAATAATTAAACATTAATTTTAATATACAAAAATAAATTGAATAAATTTGAAATTGAAGTTACAAATTATACCAAATTTCTGACTGATTTTTATTAACCTCATTGCAAGTGCGCTGTTTAGTATAACTATATTTATATGTAGTTTGATATCTAAATCTGAATTAAAAAATTATAGATCTAGTATAAAATTTTTGTGCATTTTATGAGTTTGTATTTATGTTAAATTTTCATAAACATATGAATTTCTTCAAGCAAATACATACGTTTATGTTGTTTATAGTATTTATAGAGTTTTGAAATCTTAACTACTTTTATACTTGATATAAATATATTAGGTATTTTTTTAGAACGTTGATTAATATTTAACTATAAGTTTCATTAATATATAAAATATTAAATCTTACGTTTAATATAAAGTTCAAATTGCAATTCCTGTGCGATACCTTACAGTACTATTAAAAAATGGTAATATTATCCTAAAAGTTTAAACATCTATATAAAGTTTTTACATACATAAAAACATGCGAATTAAAAACATGAACAAAAACAAAGTTTCTTAAAACATAATTGGAATGATAATTTTTATAGAATACACCGATTTATCCTATCTATACCTGAATTATTCCACAGTTTCTTAAGGCTAAAACTTTAATGTGTGATCTTTTGTTTTTCCACCAGATATTTAAAGATATTGGATCACAAAATGCAATAGTGATCCTAAAAGAAATTTTGAAACTTTTGCTTCATCTAAAGTGATAATATTCATATTTTATAAAATAAGTAATTAACACTTGTGATGTATATTTTACAAACATGTTAATAATTGAAAAATATTATATATTGGATGGTAGACAATATTTTTCTAATTATCATTTCACATAATCATATGAAATTATTAATTCAAAAAATAAGATAGGAAAATATACCTATCAAGAGTGATAATTTGGTCAAAATAAACAACGCATATTCGCTATCAGAATAAATAAAAAGCAAAAATTTCAAAATTACTTAATTAGTAAAATACTGGTGGAAAAATGATTTCATCATCCTCTTCACCATTATTCCATTTCTTCTAGAAATTGTCATGAAATTCACGTAAATTCGTAATCTTTCAATCAATAATTAGAGATTTTTCTATAGCAAAAAATATCAACAGTCATATTTCTCAATGAAAATATGATATGTCGTCAATTTTTTTAAAATAACTTTTTTAATAAAAATTTAATTAAACAATAAATAATTGTTAGAATTATAAACACTTGTAAAAAAGAGATTCTTCATTCTAATATAAATTTGGTATAATGTAAAAATTGGTCTAAGATTCAAATATAATAACCAGTCTACTGTATCGAAATTTTATATTCTAAACTGTTCTATAATTTTTAAAATTACTCTCAATTTCAGAAGGTATCTCATTTTTATTTTAAATTTTTTATAGAAAAGGCGACCCAAAATGTTATGGTTATGTTATATAAAACTATCGAGAAATAAAACGGATATAGGCCAATGCTAAAATTCTCTTAAGGGGGTATTCTACTGTAGAGTCAAGAATTTCGCCCGGTTTTTGAAGCGCTGTATAAAGGAAACAAATAATATTTTTACTATCGATTTTTTTTATCATTTGTTTATTGATATTTTATCATTACATCAAAAAATTATTAGAAAAAAAAAATTAAAATTCACAAAGTTATGAGCAGTCAAAGTGGAAGTTCCCAAAAAAAGAGGGTGTCCTGGCGTACATGATTCCAACCCTCCTGGTGATTTGAAACATAAAAAATAGATGGATTTTTAATTATAATAGATGCCGCTATCGTATGAACCTTGGATAAGTTAAAAAAAATGATTTTGTTTGAATGGCGGCAGTTTGAAAAAAAAAAATATTTTTTTTCATGTTTTTTTTAGCAATTCCGTATTTTTTAAAAATACTAAATGAGAAGTTATAGTTCTGGGCAAGGTCCATACGATAAAGCGATGTATAAAGAAGATCCTATCCAAATTTGAAGTAAATCAGTTCATTAGAACTCGAGATATCCTTACCGCCAGCTCGAAAAAAGTAGTTCCGAGAAAAACGCGTTCAAAGTTTTGAGACTCAGTCGGACCCGAACCGAGGCCACGTCTCTAAAACGGCTATAACTCAGGAAATAATAGTAATTTTGAAAAATCCTTTTAATGACATATTTTTGAATAACTAAACTTTAAAAATATGAAAAAAAAAAATTTTTCGATTTTTTCAAAATTCTACAGTAGAATACCCCCTTAAAACGAAAACAAAATGTTTGCACACGTCGGTATTCTTTATTTAATTAAATATTCTCATATTAAAAATAATCATTAAATCATATCAAAACAAAACATTTTAAGCTTCAATTTGCTTGCAAATCGTTTCTTTGTATTAAAACACTTATCTGTGCTGTTCAATAAAAAGTTTTAGAACAAACAGAAACGATATGGAAAATTAAAAAAAAAAAAACTCAAATAAGTTGCTAGATTAACTCGACAAGTTAAATATATTTCAAACATAAGTTAAATATATTTCAGAACCAAATATTATTGGAAAATGTTTTTTCATGTATATTTCCCTAGTCTGCATTTTTCTGTAATAACAACTACATTCTCACGAAATAAAAATTCATTATCTCACATGCAAATAAACTTATCAGGCGGTTTTAAATAAAAAATTAAAACCTTAACGCTGGCTATATCAAATCATAAAAATACAATAATGGCATGAGTTCAATATTTTATAATTTTTTATACCCCGTTTAGAAATAAAATTATTTTTCAAATCAAATTATTGAATGAATTATGCATATATGAATTTCTACGTTAATTTTTCGTAGAAATTCATTTCGTTTTTAATCATCGTAAAATAGGAATTATTCTCCAGCCCTTAGACTATTTCACTATAAAATTCGAGAGTAAAAAACCATATTCAATGAATCTTTCTTAAAAGATAGATTTTAAAAATTTACCTATTAGCATACATTCACACATCCACACAAAATATACTCAAGATCGCACCTTGTTCGTCCATAGTCCCTTCATCCAACTGAGAGCGCCCTTACCAGTTTTACTTATCTTAGTATTGTTTTTCTTGCTGACCAGACTCTTGTGGCATTTAATGCTTCCGTTTAAGTCTTTACAATCGGATGAGGGCGTCGTTTTGATGCCGTTGGCTGTTGTATCGCTGCCGACGATTTCTGATTTTCTGTCAAATGGAATGTTTATCGAAGGTGGTTTCGAATCAACGTGACCAGGTGAAAAACTAAATGATTCATTGAGGTTGGTCGCGTTGAGAGATTCTGGTTGCGTTTCAGTCGCTGTCGCTTGTCATGTCGATCGCTCCCAGCGATCGTCGTCGGATTCGTGAGTTAGATAACGAACGCCAACCTGATGGTAAAAATAAAATTTGTGAACAGATTCAAATTATTTGTTAAATTGTGATTGCAATGGTTAATGGTTATGCACCAAAAGCAGACAAATTAAAGATCACAATATTTGTTATTCATCTCAGCATTTACTATTAACAGCAAATAAGGCACAATGTTTATCCAAATTATATCTAGTATTTACTATAAAAATTATACACGATTTAGTTATCTAACTTACTTTTATTAATATCTCTGTAAAAAGCTTCTGATTTTAAAACATTTTATGTCAACTTTTAACTTTGAAAATAGTATTGAATTTATAAAAAAAAAAAATTCAAAAAGGGAGTAAAACATTAATATGCGCCAAAAAAACATGCATGCACGACTAGTTTTGATTTACACTACACACAATAAGGAAAACTTTTATTCAATTTCGTCGAGACGCTACTTTGCACACCCGCTCTTTTTACACGGTTCTATATTTAAATGCCTTTGATACAACCTAGCTATGCCATCAAGGTGAACAGCAGGCAGCCCCTGTGACCTAATGGATAAGGCATCGGCCTCCTACGCCGGGGATTGTGGGTTCGAGTCCCACCAGGGGTACTGTTACTTTTTTACACAGTTCTATATTTAAATGCCTTTGATACAACCTACCTATGCTATCAAGCTGAACAGCAGGCAGCCCCTGTGGCCTAATGGATAAGGCATCGACCTCCTAAGCCGGGGATTGTGGGTTCGAGTCCCACCAGGGGTACTGTTACTTTTTTACACAGTTCTATATTTAAATGCCTTTGATACAACCTAGATATGCCATCAAGGTGAACAGCAGGCAGCCCCTGTGGCCTAATGGATAAGGCATCGGCCTCCTAAGCCGCGGATTGTGGGTTCGAGTCCCACCAGGGGTACTGTTACTTTTTTACACAGTTCTATATTTAAATGCCTTTGATACAACCTACCTATGCTATCAAGCTGAACAGCAGGCAGCCCCTGTGGCCTAATGGATAAGGCATCGGCCTCCTAAGCCGGGGATTGTGGGTTCGAGTCCCGCTGGGGGTGCTGTTACTTTTTTACACAGTTCTATATTTAAATGCCTTTGATACAACCTAGCTATGCTATCACAGTGAACAGCAGACAGCCCCTGTGGCCTAATGCATAAGGCATCGGCATCCTAAGCCGGTGATTGTGTATTCGAGTCCCACTAGGGGTACTGTTACCTTTTTACACAGTTCTATATTTAAATGCCTTTGATATAACTTAGCTATGCTATCAAGGTGAACAGCATGCGGCCCCTGTGGCCTAATGGATAAGGCATCGGCCTCCTAAGCCGGGGATTGTGGGTTCGAGTCCCACCAGGGGTACTGTTCATTTTTTACACAGTTCTATAGTTAAATGCCTTTGATACAACCTAGCTATGCTATCACAGTGAACAGCAGACAGCCCCTGTGGCCTAATGGATAAGGTATCGGCCTCCTTAGCCGGGAATTGTGGGTTCGAGTCCCACCAGGGGTACTGTTCCTTTTTACACAGTTCTATATTCAAATGTCTTTGATAAAACCGAGCTTCGAGTCCCACCAGGGGTGCTATATTTACACAGTTCTATATTTAAATGCCTTCGATACAACTTACCCTTGCTATCCAGGTGAACACCAGGCAGCCCCTGTGGCCTAATGGATAAGGCATCGGCCTCCTAAGCCGGGGATTGTGGGTTCGAGTCCCACCAGGGGTACTGTTCCTTTTTTACACAGTTCTATATTTAAATGCCTTTGATACAACCTAGCTATGCTATCAAGGTAAACAGCAGGAAGCCCCTGTGTCCTAATGAATAAGACATCGGCCTCCTAAGCCGGGGATTGTGGGTTCGAGTCCCACCGGGGGTACTGTTCCTTTTTTACACAGTTCTATATTTAAATGCCTTTGATACAACCTAGCTATGCTATCAAGCTGAACAGCAGGCAGCCCCTGTGCCCTAATGGATAAGGCATCGGCCTCCTAAGCCGGGGATTGTGGGTTCGAGTCTCACCAGGGGTACTGTTCATTTTTTACACAGTTCTATATTTAAATGCCATTGATACAACCTAGCTATGCTATCACAGTGAACAGCAGACAGCCCCTGTGGCCTAATGGATAAGGTATCGGCCTCCTTAGCCGGGGATTGTGGGTTCGAGTCCCACCAGGGGTACTGTTCCTTTTTTACACAGTTCTATATTCAAATGCCTTTGATAAAACCGAGCTTCGAGTCCCACCAGGGGTGCTATATTTACACAGTTCTATATTTAAATGCCTTCGATACAACTTACCCTTGCTATCCAGGTGAACACCAGGCAGCCCCTGTGACCTAATGGATAAGGCATCGACCTCCTAAGCCGGGGATTGTGGGTTCGAGTCCCACCAGGGGTACTGTTACTTTTTTACACAGTTCTATATTTAAATGCCTTTGATATAACCTAGCTATGCTATCAAGGTGAACAGCAGGCAGCCCCTGTGGCCTAATGGATAAGGCATCGGCTTCCTAAGCCGGGGATTGTGGGATCGAGTCCCACTAGGGGTACTGTTCCTTTTCTACACAGTTCTATATTTAAATGCCTTTGATACAACCTAGCTATGCTATCAAGGTGAACAGCATGCAGCCCCTGTGGCCTAATGGATAAGGCATCGGCCTCCTAAGCCGGGGATTGTGGGTTCGAGTCCCACCAGGGGTACTGTTCCTTTTTTACACAGTTCTATGTTTAAATGCCTTTGATACAACCTAGCTATGCTATCAAGGTACTGTTCCTTTTTTACACAGTTCTATATTTAAATGCCTTTGATACAACCTAGCTATGCTATCAAGGTGAACAGCATGCGGCCCCTGTGGCCTAATGGATAAGGCATCGGCCTCCTAAGCCGGGGATTGTGGGTTCGAGTCCCACCAGGGGTACTGTTCCTTTTTTACACAGTTCTATATTTAAATGCCTTTGATACAACCTAGCTATGCTATCAAGGTGAACAGCATGCAGCCCCTGTAGCCTAATGGATAAGGCATCGGCCTCCTAAGCCGGGGATTGTGGGTTCGAGTCCCACCAGGGGTACTGTTCCTTTTTTACACAGTTCTATATTTAAATGCCTTTGATACAACCTAGCTATGCTATCAAGGTGAACAGCATGCGGCCCCTGTGGCCTAATGGATAAGGCATCGGCCTCCTAAGCCGGGGATTGTGGGTTCGAGTCCCACCAGGGGTACTGTTCCTTTTTTACACAGTTTTATATTCAAATGCCTTTGATATAACCTAGCTTTGCGATCAAGAATGACAGCAGGCAGCCCCTGTGGCCTAATGAATAAGGCATCGGCCTCCTAAGCCGGGGATTGTGGGTTCGAGTCCCACCAGGGGTACTGTTCCTTTTTTACACAGTTCTATATTTAAATGCCTTTGATACAACCTAGCTATGCTATCAAGGTGACGAACGGGCAGCCCCTGTGGCCTAATGGATAAGGCATCGGCCTCCTAAGCCGGGGATTGTGGGTTCGAGTCCCACCCGGGGTACTGTTCCTTTTTTACACAGTTCTATATTTAAATGCCTTTGATACAACCTAGCTATGCTATCAAGGTAAACAGCAGAAAGCCCCTGTGGCCTAATGGATAAGGCATCGGCCTCCTAAGCCGGGGATTGTGGGTTCGAGTCCCACCAGGGGTACTGTTCCTTTTTTACACAGTTCTATATTTAAATGCCTTTGATACAACCTAGCTATGCTATCAAGGTGAACAGCAGGTAGCCCCTGTAGCCTAATGGATAAGGCATCGGCCTCCTAAGCCGGGGATTGTGGGTTCGAGTCCCACCAGGGGTACAGTTCCTTTTTTACACAGTTCTATATTTAAATGCCTTTGATACAACCTAGCTATGCTATCAAGGTGAAGAACAGACAGCCTCTGTGGCCTAATGGATAAGGCATCGGCCTCCTAAGCCGGGGATTGTGGGTTCGAGTCCCACCAGAGGTACTGTTCCTTTTTTACACAGTTCTATATTTAAATGCCTTTGATACAACCTAGCTATGCTATCAAGGCAAACAGCAGAAAGCCCCTGTGGCCTAATGGATAAGGCATCGGCCTCCTAAGCCGGGGATTGCGGGTTCGAGTCCCACCAGGGGTACTGTTCCTTTTTTACACAGTTCTATATTTAAATGCCTTTGATACAACCTAGCTATGCTATCAAGGCGAACAGCAGGCAGCCCCTGTGCCCTAGTGGATAAGGCATCGGCCTCCTAAGCCGGGGATTGTGGGTTCGAGTCCCACCGGGGGTGCTATATTTACACAGTTCTATATTTAAATGCCTTTGATACAACCTAGCTATGCTATCAAGCTGAACAGCAGGCAGCCCCTGTGGCCTAATGAATAAGGCATCGGCCTCCTAACCCGGGGATTGTGGGTTCGAGTCCCACCAGGGGTACTGTTCATTTTTTACACAGTTCTATATTTAAATGCCTTTGATTCAACCTAGCTATGCCATCAAGGTAAACAGCAGGCAGCCCCTGTGACCTAATGGATAAGGCATCGGCCTCCTAAGCCGGGGATTGTGGGTTCGAGTCCCACCAGGGGTACTGTTCATTTTTTACACAGTTCTATATTTAAATGCCTTCGATACAACTTACCCTTGCTATCAAGGTGAACACCAGGCAGCCCCTGTAGCTTAATGAATAAGGCATCGGCCTCCTAAGCCGGGGATTGTGGGTTCGAGTCCCACCAGGGGTACTGTTTGTTTTTTACACAGTTCTATATTTAAATGCCTACGATACAACCTAGCTATGCTATCAAGGTAAACAGCAGGAAGCCCCTGTGGCCTAATGGATAAGGCATCGGCTTCCTAAGCCGGGGATTGTGGGTTCGAGTCCCACAAGGGGTACTGTTCCTTTTTTACACAGTTCTATATTTAAATGCCTACGATAAAACCTAGCTATGCTATCAAAGTAAACAGCGGGCAGCCCCTGTGGCCTAATGGATAAGGCATCGGCCTCCTAAGCCGGGGATTGTGGGTTCGAGTCCCACCAGGGGTACTGTTCCTTTTTTACACAGTTCTATATTTAAATGCCTTTGATACAACCTAGCTATGCCATCAAGGTGAACAGCAAGCAGCCCCTGTGGCCTAATGGATAAGGCATCGGCCTCCTAAGCCGGGGATTGTGGGTTCGAGTCCCACCGGGGGTACTGTTCCTTTTTTACACAGTTCTATATTTAAATGCCTTTGATACAACCTAGCTATGCTATCAAATTGAACAGCAGGCAGCCCCTGTGGCCTAATGGATAAGGCATCGGCCTTCTAAGCCGGGGATTGTGGGTTCGAGTCCCACCGGGGGTGCTATATTTACACATTTCTATATTTAAATGCCTTTGATACAACCTAGCTATGCTATCAAGCTGAACAGCATGCAGCCCCTGTAGCCTAATGGATAAGGCATCGGCCTCCTAAGCCGGGGATTGTGGGTTCGAGTCCCACCAGGGGTACTGTTCCTTTTTTACACAGTTCTATATTTAAATGCCTTTGATACAACCTAGCTATGCTATCAAGCTGAACAGCATGCAGCCCCTGTAGCCTAATGGATAAGGCATCGGCCTCCTAAGCCGGGGATTGTGGGTTCGAGTCCCACCAGGGGTACTGTTCCTTTTTTACACAGTTTTATATTCAAATGCCTTTGATATAACCTAGCTTTGCGATCAAGAATGACAGCAGGCAGCCTCTGTAGCCTAATGGATAAGGCATCGGCCTCCTAAGCCGGGGATTGTGGGTTCGAGTCCCGCCAGGGGTACTGTTCCTTTTTTACACAGTTCTATATTTAAATGCCTTTGATACAACCTAGCTATGCTATCAAGGTAAACAGCAGAAAGCCCCTGTGGCCTAATGGATAAGGCATCGGCCTCCTAAGCCGGGGATTGTGGGTTCGAGTCCCACCAGGGGTACTGTTCCTTTTTTACACAGTTTTATATTCAAATGCCTTTGATATAACCTAGCTTTGCGATCAAGAATGACAGCAGGCAGCCTCTGTAGCCTAATGGATAAGGCATCGGCCTCCTAAGCCGGGGATTGCGGGTTCGAGTCCCACCAGGGGTACTGTTCCTTTTTTACACAGTTCTATTGTGGGTTCGAGTCCCACCAGGAGTTCGATTCTTTTTTTACACAGTTCTATTTTCAAATTTATTTACGACATCTTACTCTCAAGATTTACAATTTAACTTGATAATATTTAATAATAAAACAATAAAATATTATGCAATTATGCAGTATAATGTTTACTGTTGTAGTATATTAAACCTTTCCACTCGGATGTCGCCGAAATCTGTTACTTAAAACAAAATAACTAACGTTTACCTCTTTTTCTAGGTTGCGAAGATCGGTCCACGTTTTAGGATCTTGCAGCCAGCTATGCAGCAGGGTTTTATCGACAGTTAATCGTTTGCGTTGTTTAACTTGGAGTAAGTTATTGATAAGATCAATAGCTGAAAATGCAATAATAACAAATTTAAATAAAAATATTTAGACTGTTTTATGAATAATAATAAAACAAACAGTGAACAAATTAAAATGAGATGAAAAAGTCTTACTTAAGATGATAAATAATATATCATATCCAATGGAAAATATGGAATTAGTTAATTTATATAACAAAAATTTCTATTTCCAAAAATCCTTCCAAGGATTAAATTTACCTTCTGAAGAAATTTCTTTCCAAGGATTAGGTGGGTACATAAAGGCAGCATTTTGTATTTGTTCATTTATATCTTCATCTTCATTGAAAGGAAAAGTACCACTTAAACTCACATAAATTATCACACCAACGCTCCACATATCAAGAGATCTGTTATACCCTTTGTTTCTCAAAACCTCAGGCGCTTGAAAAAATAAGAAAGCAAGTCAAGTTATTAATTCATAGTAATATCAATGCAATTCTATTTTTTAAAATATAAAAAATAGACAGTTTTCTAGATATACACTTTAATTGTTTATTGAAATTTCTATATTTAAAAAATTACTGCAAATCGACATTAATAAAAGTATAAGAATAAATATTATCAATATAAGTGTTCCTTATGATCAATTTTAGAATATTCAGGCTTTAGCCCTGAAGTTATTATTGTAAACACAATTTGCTCCGATTTTGTTATCCATATTAAATCAAATTCATCAGTAAAATGTTTGTTTTTATAGTTGGAAATAAAATTTAGTTAAGATACAAAATAATTTGATTCTGGACATTTTCTTACCTAAATAAGCTGGCGTACCAACTACGGATCTGCGGAATGACTTTTCACCAATAATTCTGGCAAAACCAAAATCACATAACTTCACTTGAGGAAAATCGCTATCCGATGACAAGAGTACGTTTTCTGGTTTCAAATCGCAATGCACAATGTTTTTGCTGTGTAAATGCTTTAGCGCTATTAGGATCTGAAAAAAATAACACAACAAATTACTATTCAATATTTTCATAATAAAAATCAATGAAACAGTTATATCGTACTAGTAAATTCAATCATAAAAAATCTTTGTTAAATTGTTACTAAATTAAAGTGATAATTAATCCCAAACCTGTGTTATAAGAAATTTAGTGATCCTTTCACTCAATCTTCCCTTTTCATGTGATAATATCATCTCGAGCATATCTCCTTTCAGCTTCTCCATGACGACGAATATTCTTTCAGGTGTCTCAAACATTCTCTCCAAATTAACAACACCTTGGTGTGATAAATTCTGTAAAATTGCTACTTCATTTTTGAGTTGAGCTTCTTGTTTTGTAGGAAACCGCAGTTTGTCAATTACTTTGATAGCAACAGCACGTTGTGTACGACGGTGAAGACCTAATACAAAAGTAACATTATTTAACAAATCATTATTGCAACTAGTGAAAAAGCACTTAGGTTTATGAACGTTATGAATGAACAAATCTGGATTTAATAAAATCATATGTAAGTATAACAATATATAACTTAAAACAAAAAGTTTTTATTAGGGATATGATATTAGTGTAATCTTATTGTAGCTTGACGATTTAAACATTCATAATAAGCTGATAAAAAATATAATTTAAAATTGAAACTAGTGGGGTGTATGGCATCGTGCCTTAAGGCAAATTACTGGAACTTCCCGTACCGTAACGAAATGTTCGAGGGAAAGTGAATGTTTTCAAATAGATTATTATTAATATTGTAACATTGTCTAATATTTATAAGAATTATATAAACTTTTTTTTTTAAAAAAAAGTTGAAACAATTTTTTTTTTCCAAAATCAATTATTTTGTTAAGACAAGAAAAAAGTTTTTTGAATCATTTAAATCGAACGCTTAGTTCTCTCAAAAATTGCCATTTTTACACATTTAGCTCCATATCTTCGAAATGGCTGGGCCTGCCTTTGCCAAAAACTAATAAACACTTCTCCCAATCATTACTAATTGAATGTTTTTTAGATCATTCGAATCGGATGCTTCGTTCTCTCAAGAACTCGATTTCTATTTTCTGCACTCTGCAAAAAACTGCCTTTGCCAAAAACTAATCAGCGCATCGCCCTATCAATAGGAATCGAATGCTTTTGAACCATTCAAATCGGTTGATCCGAGCGCCCGAAAACGTGACTGGAAATTTGTATCCATACATACATACACACACACATCCATTTTTTCTGAGGTATGCCAAAATGTTCAGAAACCTTCAAAATGTCGAGAAATGTAAAAATTTTCAATTTCGATTTTCGGCCCATTACAATAACTTACCCTAGGGGAAGTTAAAAAACATTTTTTAATTTCATTATTCTAGAATTTATTAAAATAAGTCATTGAATATTCTATATCAGCATATTAAGCTAGATTTTATCTGCTGATTCGATTATATAAAGAGATAAATTTAAATAAGTACTAAATTTTATAATACTGGGTTCGAATCACGTTGGCAAATTTACCTAAAGTGCACTATACATGAGTATGAGATGTTAATTTTTATTTATTCTATAGAATTCCGTAATAAATGAGAACATACAATAGCATATGTATTAAAATGTAGCAAATATAAACAATTACCTCCATAAACAATTCCAAATTGTCCAGATCCCAAAACATCATCAGGAAATATTTGATATAATTGACTCATGTCCGTAATCCTTTCTTCTGGTTCTCCAGTTACATCGGATTCTGGAATAATCAAAAGTAGCAATAAAGGGCTACTATAACTGTTTCTTGTAACCTATTTGATTTTTTTTTCTTCCGTTTTTTTGTATATTTTTGATTTTCTAACATAAATTATGTATTAAATTTTGGAATGTAAATATTTCAAATTTATAAACCACTTTACAAGTAAAATAATATATTTATATATTGCATAAAAGAAAATAATAAAAAATATATAGTTTTCATAAAATCATTATAAACTCACTTGAAGTGTTGGTGACTGGCATTAAAGCTTGCCTAATAGTTGTCTCCCAGCTTTTGGCTAAATATGCACCAATTCCGCTATCAGGAGGTGGCAGTGTCAATTCAGTCGGTCCGTCTTTTAGGTCGAACATCGGGTCTTGGCCAACAAAGTAATCTATATTTACGGTACGCAACTCGAAGCAATGCATCAAGTCTAAATTAAGAAATTTCCACTTTAACTCATTTGATAACAAATAAAATTGAAAACTAAAATATTAATTTATATATTCAAAATTTTAAATAATATTAATAAAATCAATAATGAAATCGAAAATATTTGTAAGGATTGCATCCATAAATATTAATTTAAAATATCCTTATTAAGTAGATTTGTAAAATAAATTGCAAATTTACAAAAGTTTGTGTGAGTATTTGATTATCGCTGATTATTTACCTCCTTTCAAATTCCTAGCTTGATTAATGGCGATAATTTCGTTTAAAGCAATTTCTTTGTAGTATTTTGAACCTTGGTCTGATACAAATAATGTTATAGATTTTGGATCCAGTCGCCAATAATGTCGCCTTATCTGTAAAGAAAAAAAAAATGCTAATTATATTCTACACTTACATTGATTGCAACTTTATATTAGTGCCATGTAAATATTTTACCATCTAACTTGCTAAGGATATCTAACATAGCAATTTATCTCTTTAATCAGTGACTCAAACATTATGGTTTAAGAAGAGTTTCGGTATTGCAAAACACTTAGAAAAACGTAGGTTTGCTGTAGCCCCTATGGCCTAATGGATAAGGCATCGGCCTCCTAAGCCGGGGGTTGTGGGTTCGAGTCCCACCAGGGGTACTGTTCCTCTTTTACACAGTTCTATATTTAAATGCCTTTGATACAACCTAGCTATGCTATCAAGAAACTGTTCCTTTTTTACACAGTTCTATATTTAAATGCCTTTGATACAACCTAGCTATGCTATCAAGGTGAACAGCAAGCAGCCCCTGTGGCCTAATGGATAAGGCATCGGCCTCCTAAGCCGGGGATTGTGGGTTCGAGTCCCACCAGGGGTACTGTTCTTTTTTTACACAGTTCTATATTTAAATGCCTTTGATACAACCTAGCTATGCTATCAAAGTGAACGGCATGCAGCCCCTGTGGCCTAATGGATAAGGCATCGGCCTCCTAAGCCGGGGATTGTGGGTTCGAGTCCCACCAGGGGTACTGTTCCTTTTTTACACAGTTCTATATTTAAATGCCTTTGATACAACCTAGCTATGCTATCAAGGTGAACAGCAGGCAGCCCCTATGGCCTAATGGATAAGGCATCGGCCTCCTAAGCCGGGGGTTGTGGGTTCGAGTCCCACCAGGGGTACTGTTCCTCTTTTACACAGTTCTATATTTAAATGCCTTTGATACAACCTAGCTATGCTATCAAGAAACTGTTCCTTTTTTACACAGTTCTATATTTAAATGCCTTTGATACAACCTAGCTATGCTATCAAGGTGAACAGCAAGCAGCCCCTGTGGCCTAATGGATAAGGCATCGGCCTCCTAAGCCGGGGATTGTGGGTTCGAGTCCCACCAGGGGTACTGTTCCTTTTTTACACAGTTCTATATTTTAATGCCTTTGATACAACCTAGCTATGCTATCAAGGTACTGTTCCTTTTTTACACAGTTCTATATTTAAATGCCTTTGATACAACCTAGCTATGCTATCAAGGTGAACAGCAGGTAGCCCCTGTGGTCTAATGGATAAGGCATCGGCCTCCTAAGCCGGGGATTGTGGGTTCGAGTCTCACCAGGGGTAGTGTTCCTTTTTTACACAGTTCTATATTTAAATGCCTTTGATACAACCTAGCTATGCTATCAAGGTGAACAGCAGGCGGTCCCTGTGGCCTAATGGATAAGGCATCGGCCTCCTAAGCCGGGGATTGTGGGTTCGAGTCCCACCAGGGGTTCTGTTCCATTTTTACACAGTTCTATATTTAAATGCCTTTGATACAACCTAGCTATGCTATCAAGGTACTGTTCCATTTTTACACAGTTCTATATTTAAATGCCTTTGATACAACCTAGCTATGCTATCAAGGTGAACAGCAGGCGGCCCCTGTGGCCTAATGGATAAGGCATCGGCCTCCTAAGCCGGGGATTGTGGGTTCGAATCCCACCAGGGGTACTGTTCCTTTTTACACAGTTCTATATTTAAATGCCTTTGATACAACCTAGCTATGCTATCAAGGTACTGTTCCTTTTTTACACAGTTCTATATTTAAATGCCTTTGATACAACCTAGCTATGCTATCAAGGTGAACAGCAGGCGGCCCCTGTGGCCTAATGGATAAGGCATCGGCCTCCTAAGCCGGGGATTGTGGGTTCGAGTCCCACCAGGGGTACTGTTCCTTTTTTACACAGTTCTATATTTAAATGCCTTTGAAACAACCTAGCTATGCTATCAAGGCAAACAGCAGGCAGCCCCTGTGGCCTAATGGATAAGGCATCGGCCTCCTAAGCCGGGGATTGTGGGTTCGGGTCCCACCAGGGGTACTGTTCTTTTTTTACACAGTTCTATATTTAAATGCCTTTGATACAACCTAGCTATGCTATCAAGGTACTGTTCCTTTTTTACACAGTTCTATATTTAAATGCCTTTGATACAACCTAGCTATGCTATCAAGGTGAACAGCAGGCAGCCCCTGTGGCCTAATGGATAAGGCATCGGCCTCCTAAGCCGGGGATTGTGGGTTCGAGTCCCACCAGGGGTACTGTTCCTTTTTTACACAGTTCTATATTTTAATGCCTTTGATACAACCTAGCTATGCTATCAAGGTACTGTTCCTTTTTTACACAGTTCTATATTTAAATGCCTTTGATACAACCTAGCTATGCTATCAAGGTGAACAGCAGGTAGCCACTGTGGCCTAATGGATAAGGCATCGGCCTCCTAAGCCGGGGATTGTGGGTTCGAGTCCCACCAGGGGTACTGTTCCTTTTTTACACAGTTCTATATTTAAATGCCTTTGATACAACCTAGCTTCGCAATCAAGAATGACAGCAGGCAGCCCCTGTGGCCTAATGGATAAGGCATCGGCCTCCTAAGCCGGGGATTCTGGGTTCGAGTCTCACCAGGGGTACCGTTCCTTTTTTACACAGTTCTATATTTAAATGCCTTTGATACAACCTAGCTATGCTATCAAGGTGAACAACATGCGGCCCCTGTGGCCTAATGGATAAGGCATCGGCCTCCTAAGCCGGGGATTGTGGGTTCGAATCCCACCAGGGGTACTGTTCCTTTTTACACAGTTCTATATTTAAATGCCTTTGATACAACCTAGCTATGCTATCAAGGTACTGTTCCTTTTTTACACAGTTCTATATTTAAATGCCTTTGATACAACCTAGCTATGCTATCAAGGTGAACAGCAGGCGGCCCCTGTGGCCTAATGGAAAAGGCATCGGCCTCCTAAGCCGGGGATTGTGGGTTCGAGTCCCACCAGGGGTACTGTTCCTTTTTTACACAGTTCTATATTTAAATGCCTTTGATACAACCTAGCTATGCTATCAAGGCAAACAGCAGGCAGCCCCTGTGGCCTAATGGATAAGGCATCGGCCTCCTAAGCCGGGGATTGTGGGTTCGAGTCCCACCAGGGGTACTGTTCCTTTTTTACACGGTTCTATATTTAAATGCCTTTGATACAACCTAGCTTCGCGATCAAGAATGACAGCAGGCAGCTCCTGTGGCCTAATGGATAAGGCATCGGCCTCCTAAGCCGGGGATTGTGGGTTCGAGTCCCACCAGGGGTACTGTTCCTTTTTTACACAGTTCTATATTTAAATGCCTTTGATACAACATAGCTATGCTATCAAGGTGAACAGCAGGCAGCCCCTGTGGCCTAATGGATAAGGCATCGGCCTCCTAAGCCGGGGATTGTGGGTTCGAGTCCCACCAGGATTGTTGATTTTTTTATAGGATTTTACATTTAATTGCGTTTGCGGTAATCTAAGCCTGATGTGTACCTTGATAGCGAAGCTAGGTTGTATTTAAATAAAGAATCCTGCAAAAAATTAAGTGTACCCCTGGTGGGACTCTAACCTACAATACCCGGCTTAGGAGGCCGATGCCTTATCCATTAGGCCACAGGGGCTATATGCGACAAATCTTATTCAGACTTGTTGAAATGTTAAGGAACGTTCCGCCTCTATAAATCTAATGAACATTCAAAAATCAAATCATTCAACTCACTTATCAAACAGATAAATTTAACATGAAGGGCTTAAAAATTTAAACTTTCTATAAAAAAGTTCAATTTTCAATAATTTGTACATGAATATAATATTTTACGAGCAAAACCAAGCTCAATTAAATTTTCAAGTTCAATAATTAATATTTAAATGACTATTAAATATTTTAAAATTTATTTAAAATACAGTATTCATGTCCAATTTAACAAAAAAAAACTTAAATTACATAAAATAGCACAAATCTAATAAGTTTTGAATATATAAGTAAAGTATTCACTATTTAAATTATTTTAAATTCAATAATATCTAAGAATTTTTATTCATGATGGTGTATATAAAGCGCAATACAACAAAATAAAACAAATGAGTTTTAAATTACATTTAGTTGTTGAGGAACAAAATGTATTCAATAAATTAGTATTGTGTCGTTTGTAATTGAATAAACTAGAATTGTTTGCTTATAACTGGTTTATTAATATTAATAATATATAACTTATTTTGTACTAAAAAAAATTCAGTACCCCTAATAAACTAGAACTGTTTGCTTATAATTGGTTTATTAATATTAATAATATATATTAACAATAAGTGTTAGTATACAAATCTATCTATGAATTCTTAATACTCAAATTTTCTCATATTATCTTTAGTTTATAATTTGTACACTTTAAAATGTAATTTTATTGTATTATTGTTTTGTGCGTTGAATAAATAAATATCTTATTTTGTACTAAAGAAAAAAAAATCAGTACCCCTGGTGGGACTCGAACCCACAGTCCCCGGCTTAGGAGGCCGATGCCTTATCCATTAGGCCACAGGGTCCTTGACGGAAGAAACATTTTAGTAACATGTATGGAAAAAAAACCTAAACTTGACACGCGTTCAATAAACTCTAACGTGCTTAACAATAAAATCCAGTATTTTAGTAAAGATTAACGCATTAATTTTCAATATTATAATTTTGATTTGGTTTAGTTTCATTGTGAAATAAAACTTTGCTTTGAATATTTTGCTTTTTTGTACTCCAAAAATTTAATCAATAACTGGATGTAAGAACCAAAAGTGATTTACTAACTGTGTTTATGATATCAGGAATTGACAAAATAATTATTTTTAGTTGTGTGTTTGAAAATAGTTTAGGCAAACGGTTATAATTATTAAATGGTCCTGAATAAGACTAAGAAAACATAGATCTTCTAATTCGATGTAAGGTCTATACTAAAAAAGCTTCATTAATGTGAAACACATCGAAAACAAGTCACTATCATAAATAACTTTATGAATAAGCATTCGATTAATAATTATTATATATATTAAATAATATATTAAAAACAATAAAAAAAATTAAATGCTTAGTGGTCTGATTACAAAAATTCAAGATGATTATATGGTTGCATATGCAACCATATATAATCATTATTTATTTATCATTATTTTTATTAAAAAATTTGCAGTTTTTTAAATAGGTTTTAATACTTTCATCTTTTTGGTTGTCTAATATATTTAAAAAAAAACATTTTGATAGTGATATTTATCAATTTAGAAGTTTTGCTCACCGTTTTATCCTTATTTGTGAAATGAACCAGCCAGCCTTCTTTGATGGCCCTACCATCGCGCCGTTTCGTGTGTTTTACTGATTGAACTACCCGCATCAGAGGGATGTTTGCACTGCTGGGCACCGAAGAAAGGCTTAAATTTAAACAAAAATAATAAAAACAGCGAATTAATTGTTATTTCAAAGTTTTTCTACAGTATAAACTTATCAACACAGATTGAAATGTTAGTAATAATTGTTTGACCTATCTTCAATACCTTGAAGGAATAGAAGGAGTCTTATCAGGTCCACTATCATAATCCGGTATCCTGTCGGTATTATTACCCAGATATTGAGGAACATCTGCTTCATCCATAAAATTAACAAGTGTTCCTATAGCTGGTCCATCTTTTTCATCAAAATCATCTCTGATCAAGGAATCTCTATCGCTACTGGCATTGCTGCTATCTAAGTTTTCGGTAAGATCTGATGAATTAAGAAATAGACTTTATACAAATGTAAAGTCAAATTATGAATTATAATTTCTAAATTATAAAGCAATTTATTAATATATATTATGTGTATAGCTTTAATGCAAAATGCTCTTTAAGCAGATGTTTGGGAAAGATGATTGCAATTATATTAATAACAAAATGTAAAGTACATATACAAATTTTGTGAGATATTATACTACACTGATTGATTAAATAAAATGTTTCTAAATTTTCAATATTTTCTCTATAAATATTCTATTATATTATACCTACTCTATTTTTCTGATATTAACATATCATAATCTCTCAGTATATAAGTGAATATACTTTTTTTTTATTGTATTTTCATTACACAAGCCATTTCCTTTATTTGATAGCAATTAGATGTAACAAATTTAAATATTACAAAAAACAAAAATATATATCTGAATTTGTTTATAAACAAAAAATTCCATCATTTTGCCTTAAAATACCATCCCACAAACCGCTAGTTTTATCAGTTGACTCTTTCAGTAATCACTTAGATAACTTTGAATTTAATCAAAACTAATAGAATTTACTAACCTGGCAAAATAGGATTTTCTCCAGCGCAATCCTTGGCTACCTTGCTGACGCACTTCTTGTGCGCATTGAAATGACAGTCTCGACACTGGACACCTTGTTTGAACAGACCATGTAGAAGTTTCCTACATTGTTGGCACTGCGTAGGCCTGGTGTATGTGTGCAGAACAAAAGTATGTGGTATGCCAATCCTGCTATAACTACCAGTCTGGACTGTTGCCACAACATTGTTCTGACAATTAGTTGATCTTGGGACTACAAAAGACCCCGCCTAAAATATAAATTATGTAAAATATAAAAAATAGTATAGGTTATAAAAAGAATATTTTTTATCAAATTTCAATATTTTTTTAAATGCATGAATGTATAAGATCACCTTTAATCAAATAAATAAACAAGCAGCCCTATAAAGCATTAATATATAATACTAAATTACAACAAAAATATATAACGAGTTAGGTTATTAAGTATCAAAATCGGTATTGCGAAGTTTAAAAGTAGAAATGGAATTGATACAAAATATTTTTATGGTTACGAAAGTATAAAAATGATAAGTAATCTGCTTAAATTAGAACTGTTTCAATGTAGCGCCGTAAAAATTAAAAGAAATGTTTAGAATGTGCAAATATTTTCTTTGAATCAATTTGTTTTATTTTTTATAGTACTGATTTTTCATACAAATTGGAATTATTGTATAAGGCTATAATGTAATAAATGAAAAATAATAATATTTTATTTATTATTAGGCTTTAATATACCATAAATGCAATTTTATATATTATAGTAGAAAGCCAATATTGTCTTTCTACAATAAAAAGCATATGAAGCTAAATAATACATATATTTATTCAGTACTATATAAAAATACAACAATAATAATAAAATTAATATAATTTTAAATAAATAATGATAAATTAAAACAAAATAATAAAATCATATAGTAAAACTTAAGTATCGTAAACACTAATAAATAATAATTAAGTACGTAGACCTTTTCAAGAAAATAATTATCAAAATAATATTAATAAACCTTTATAACAAATTATGATGAGTATGTTTCTTGTTTAAAAGCCCATGTCAAGAGTATTATTCGATTAAAATCTATATATAAAAAATTTACCTTATCATTATCTATACTAAAATTATCCACAACCAAGTATTAATAAACAAGGAAGTATTTTTATTCATATTTAAAATAATCATCATTATTCCCTTCTACCTATCACCAGTATATATTATAATAAAACTATTAGCCTTAACTAATATTGGTTTAATATTTCTAAAAAATGGACGGATATGTTTTATTCTATTTTCTAAACCTATTTTCAATAGATCACAGTTTCATGTCGAACACTCACAATTATTGTCATATAATATAAATTTTGTTAAATATCCTCTGATATCAAATCATTATTTAAAAAGTGATCAAAATTCTATAAAAGATTTCAGAATTAAAGTATTGGATGTGTGCTTCATCTATATCTATTTTTCAATTAATAATATCATTCATCAATTGTTGCATTTTCCTCACCAAATGGTTGGCACCAGATCCAATATTCTGGTCATTGGTGGCACTGGTGAGTTGGCATTGATCGTCAGTGGTGCTATTGAGGGAACCACTGCTGCCGCCTTGTGAACCAGACGTGCAGAAGGGGGTTTGACTGTTGCGACGTTGCTGTTGTGGGTGTTGATTGATAGTGGCAGTGCAATTGTTGGGAACTTTTACCGCACAACGTTTATGATAGTTCAAATTGCAACCTAAATACAAAATCAAAATATTATAATACCATTGATGCTATCACATTTTAAATATAAGTTACATGTACAAATTAAATAGAATTATATCAAATTTTAATACCTTCACATTTAAGGCCTTGTCGCACTAAACCAAATAACATCTCCCCGCAAAAATCACAGAAAGCAGGTGATCTATAAGAGTTTACGACCAAGTGATGAGGTTTTTGAACAGGGTTGCTCTGTGATTCATTTCGACTATTTATAAATTGTGCTAAAATAGAAAAAAAATTATAATAATCATGAATTTACACATATCTTGTATTAATTATACTATTAATGTAACATTGTGAAAAAATTATTAATAATTATATATTTATGCAGTATTTATTGCAGATCAAGTTAATAATTCTTCAAGTTTCTTAGTTTTAATATTAATATGTTATTAGTCATTAAGTAAATAATCAATGTAAAAATTAATAATCAAATTATCAAGGTAATAGAATTAATATTAATAGAAGGTTAGAATCAACTTTTTTCTGAAAAATTAAATATAAGAAACAAAATACAATTTATAGAAATCATCAATATTTAGTTTAATTACAAAAAATGAAGTTTTTGATAGTCTACGCATCTTACTATCTTTGAATATTCTATTTTTGAAAATATTTATTCAATTATTGAAATATTTTTGTCCACAATAATCTATTTTAGAGCAGATGACTAAATATATACATCATTATCAAGTATATAAATATACTTACGATTTGCACTCAGAACTATTTCGACAAGTGCTTCATCTGTGATATCTGTTGCTGAGTTTATTAATTTCAAGCAATTTGGACTACTATATTCATGTCTGAAGAGTAATAATCGATCACCTAATCGATTTATACCATTATCGGGTAACTAAAATAAACACGATGAGAAGTTAGAAATGTTTATAGATTTATTTGTAGCATTAATTAAAATATTATATTTACCTTTGAAGCTATGAAATCACATGCAAACTCTTTTAGTGTTTTTAAGGTCAGTAATTTTACAGGCACTGTCACAGTATCTCTTATTAGACCAAATTGGAACATAAAGGTGACATCTTGGCAATCCATATTAATCTAAGAAGAACATTGGATTATTGTAAGAATCTAACAAGAAATTCTTGCAAAAAAATATAGAAATACTAATAATAATAATAGATCAAGATGTGAATTCGTAATAGCACTAATGAAACAACTATATAATCTGTTTACTATTGTAACTGTAAAATCGCTAAAGATTACTTTTAAGCTATATTTATGAAAAATTAGTACTTACATTGACTTTTACAAATAAGAATGTGCAATACAAATTTTTCTCTGTATCATGAATATTTTATGAATTGCTACATAATCGAAGTTTCAATAATATATCAGTTAAGTAAACATTTATAAATCAAGTTAGCAGTGAAATATTCTTAAACTTTCTAATTTTCATTAACGTTTTAAATGTAATAAATAATTCGATGACGTTTATTATGATATACAGTTATTCTGTACAACACACCTGTAATACGTGAAAAAACTAATACGGTAGAAAAATTCTCTCCCAAAGAACTTCCATAAGATTCACTGATGAATTTCACAATGTTGTTTACAAATTGTAAACATAATGTAATCTTTATATAATATAAAACGATAAAAAGTTTGCTTTTGCTTTTATTGCACCGCAAATGTTAGGAAGACTGATCGTAAACTGTCAGATTTCGTGCAGTGTTGCCACTGACGAGTAATGGGATTCGAGGGGCGTGACTATCTTTCGGTTGACGTTTTATCCGAGAGATATTTGAAATTATTTTTTAATATAATATAAATAAACTAGTGGTGTACCTATGGCATCGTGCCTTAAGACAAATTGCTGGAACCTCACGTACCAAAAATATTTTTTTTAAAATAAGATTAATTTTTTTTAAACTTTGGAAAAATTATAGATTTTGGGGAAATTTTAAGTTTTTGAGAAAAAAAATTGACATTTTTGAAAAAAATGCTTTTTAACTTCCCGAAGGAGAAGTTTATGTTTTCATCAAAAAATCCGATTCGCTAATTTTATGTTTTCTCGACGTTGAAACTGAAAAAGCCATTCTGAATCGAATGAGACCAAATTTGGAAAAAGTATGTGTGTGTGTGTGTGTGTGTATGTGAACAGATTTTTTGCCGTAAATCGACGTTTTCTCGAAAACGGCTGGACCGATTTCAAAAATTTAAAAGCCATTCGATGTATCTCGACGAGAACTACTGTTTGTCAGTTTTGTGCGACGATCGGCCAAGCCGTTTCTTTATAAATGGCAGAAAAGTGAAAAAATTTTCGTCTACGTTTTAGCCCGCAATTCTGAATCGATTTTGAAAATTCAAAAACCGTTCGAAAGATATTGGTTGGAAATCGTGCTGATTAGTTTTTGGTAGAGATCGGCCGGGCCGTTTTCTTGTAATAAAGTTTTTTAAAAAAATTTTCGACGATTTTTATGATTATTTTTTTGACGATAGATACCATAGTCTTCTAGATCATACTAAAATATTACGGCCCTACGACAACTGGTTCAGCTTTAAAAATTCGTCAAAGTTTGCAAAAATCAGTATGGTCTTTTTGGCATTTGTCAAAATTAGACTTTTGATCGACAAAAACGCCTGAACCGATTTTAGAAATTTAAAAGCCATTTGATGTATTTCGGTGAGGACTATCGTTTGTCAGTTTTGTGCAACGATCTGACAAGCCGTTTCTTTGTAATTCGAAAAAAAAGTGTTAAACTTTTCGTCCACATTTAAGCTCATCCTACCGAACCGATTTTAAAAAATCAAAAACTGTTCGAAAGATATTAGTTGGGAATGGTACTGATTAATTTTAGGTGAAAATCTACCAAGCCGTTTTCTTGTAATTAATTGTTGAAAAAAAGAGTGCGCGTAAGGATCACACGCGATTGAAGTAAAACTTTTAATATTGTATGAGTAGGCAATTAAGATAAAAATAAAAAAACATCATATTTGAATTTTAAAAATCATCTTTTAATAATCATATAACATCAATAATAATAAGATCTCCTGAGCATCGGCACAGCTGTCCTACTGATATCAAGAGTTTGAATATGATGTGAAGCTTTCTTCCTAATTTTGTTACCTATCTTACCGGGAAATTCAAACCATAAACGTAGAAGTTCATCATCATCGCCACGTTCTATGTACACTAATTTTCCCACACAACCATTAGCTAAGCCATCACTTACATCAATATTAGTTGTTATTATGTAAAATTTATTCAGAACTAAAATTATTTCATACGGCAAAGCCCCGGTATCAATAACCGATTTTTTTGAAACTGCTGACGAATGTATGATTGTTGATCTGTCGCATGGCAACCTACATAAATATCCGTGGCAGTAGATATTATTTTGTCTTCAACGAGATTCAATATAAATTTATTATATTCCATGGCACATTTATTCTCTAAGAAAAGTCTTATTCCATGAGGACATAATACAGCAACCTCTTCTTTTGTAAAAAAACGTGATTCAATTAATGCAAGTTCATATAGGGTTTAGCGCTCGACTTACGCATGACATGACGGGAGTGGATACTCGCGACATCAGCGCTTACGGCGTCGTAGTGTTCAACTACACGTTGGCATTTTCGTTGCATTTGTACGGATTTACACCCGTGTCGCGCCTAAAAATTTTTACACCCATATCGCGCCTAAAGAAGTTTTACTTCAAAAAATTTAAGCCGATTTTCATGGAACTTTTTTGGCGATATACATCATGGACTTATAGAACTTACTGTAATATTACGGCCTAACGACAAGTAGTTTAATTTTACAAATTCGTCAAAGTTTGCTAAAATTATTATCGTTTTTTTAAAGTAGGATTGATGAAGTATATTATTTACACATTTTTTGATTAAGTCGATTATTTACACATATCGGGAAGTTCATGTAACTTGCCTCAAGGCTAAATACCAAACCAACTAGTTCTTTAAATATTTTGGAAATTTTGAACATTTTTTCAAAGCAATCGTACTGCTTTAGCTGCATAAAGACGAAATATTGAAGCGCCTAACGGACAAACGATGTTACGGAAACCATAGAAGTGTAAACAAAATTGATACATATTATTAAAATCTCCATAAAATATCTGATAATTTGATGTGCATATGTCTAATGATATTTTTTGACCGCCAAATGGCTTTTTTTACTATTTTTACTAGATCTCCGAAACCGCTAGACCTGCCTCCTCAAAAATTTAATCAGTTCTTCATCTTGTCATTACAAGTGAAATGTTTTTTGAACTATTCAAATCGGACGCTCCGTTCTCTTAAAAACTGAGTTACCGTTTTCGGCACTTTTTGCCCCGTATCTTTGGAACAGCTAGACCTGCCTTTGCCAAAAACTAATCAGCACGTCTTCTTATCAGTAGAAATGAAATGTTTTTTAAATCATTCATCGGTTAATCGGTGTTCCCAAAATGGTCGACAAAAATTTGTATCCGCATACACACGCACACACACACATACATTCATTGTTTACAAGGTATGCGAAATGTTCAGAAACTTTTGAAACGTAAAGATATATAAA